TTCTATAGCATGTTAAACATAGTCTACTAATATAAGATCTTAAGAAATGAAACATCCAGCCGGGCGGTGGTGGCGCACGCCTTTAATCCCAGCACTTGGGAGGGAGAGGCAGGCGGATTTCTGAGTTCGAGGCCAGCCTGGTCTACAGAGTGAGTTTCAGGACAGCCAGGGCTACACAGAGAAACCCTGTCTCGAAAAACAAACAAAACAAAACAAACAAAAAAAAAAGAAATGAAACATCCATTCAATTTTCTATAAACCTAAAATTGCTCTAAAAATAGTCTATCTTTTATATTAATTAGCATTCATATATAATAATGGTTGTTATGTATGCTTTTGGAAATTGTGTCACCGCACCTCCAGTGAAGTCTGTGTGACAAGAGTAAATGTTGGATGCTGACTCCTGAGGCGAGTGCTTCAAGGAAGCCTGTCTCCTGGAGAGCCCTGGCAGCTCCTGAAAAGGATGTGTTCCAGATTTGTTCTTGCTATTACCAGGGAAGGGTTCTGTGCCACATCTTTTGTATTACTAATCTTTTCTTGGAAATATTTAGTTTGGAGAACAGGGTATGTTTGAAGGGTTTATCAGACTGGACACTCCAGATTTGGCTACATAATGTGGGAGAGTTTAGAAAAGGAGAAGGTTTTAACGAAGCAGCTAAAAGGAAAACAATTAGAAAGGACAGATAGAGTTCAGATGAGTTGATTAGGAATATCCACTACAGGTGTATAAAACAACAGCTGTTTCATTGTCATATGCAGGCGTGTATGCTGGACAAGGCAATAGATGGGTAGAGGATAACGGAGCCAGAAGTTCTTTATCAAATTTTGATTTGGCTAGAGAGGGTCGCTGGGGCATAATCACCCTGGTACCTCCTTTTAAGGCTATAATAAGAAAGCATTAAGGGACACTATTCAAAGGCTGGATTTTGGTTTGTTAGGCAATGGATTATTAGACACCAAAGTCTAAGAATACACTGACCTCAGACAATACGGATATCATCTTTGTGAAATCACCATCTAGCTCCTGAGGGGTCTCATGAAAAGTTATTTTCTGTTCGATGTTGAAACTGGCCATGTGTGGCCCGACTAATCTTGGCTATTGTATGATGGCTAACTTCCCTTTGTTCTGTTTAAACATCTGATGCTTGCACCTATGGATTACACTCAGATTCAGCACTCTCTTGTGTCTGTGTCTGTCTGTCATTCGCTGACTCCTTGCCCTCCTGTTACTGGCTGTCTGGTTCTCCCCAGGAGTGGGACTCCTGACTGGGTCTGCCTGCGGCATAAGTGGACATATTATATATAATGTCAGTTACTAAAATTAAGCATAACTTTCCCAAATTATATTGAAATGTTTTTGTAAGTTTTAGTTTCCATCTGACAAAAGTAAAAGTAAATCGACTAAAACATCAAAACAAAACAAACTTCTATTCTTTGCTATAGAGAAGTCCCTAGCTTTTGCTATACTAAACTTATTTATAACCTTTAAATGCATAAGCGCACGTGCGTGCAAGCACACACACAAACACATACACACAATCACAATCACACAATCACAAGTTTTTACAAGTTACACATGACAGAAAAGCAGGCTGCTAAAGGTGAGCTGGGTAAGGCACTCTCGAAGTCTGATGACCTAAGCTCGATCCCTGGGGCCCACGTGGGAGGAGGGCTGACGCCACCAAGGAAGAGGTTCTATGACCTCCAGTTACATGTGAGCATGTACAAAACAAATGCAAACATACAAAAACGAGACACTGTTTTCTTTTTTTGGTTTTGATTTTTTCAAAACAGTTTCTCTGTGTAGCCCTCACTGTCCTGGAACGCGCTCTGTAGACCATGCTGGCCTCAAACTCACCTGCCTCTGCCTCCAGAGTGCTGACTGAGATTAAATGTGTGGGCCATCACATCCAGGCTGTTTGGTTTTTTAAAGGAGAGTTGTTGGGTTTTTTTTTTTTGGGGGGGGGGGGAACAGTATTATGTGTATGTGCATGCAAGCTTTTGTTTTTACTATTGTACCACCTCACTGGTACTGCTTACCACTCCTGCTGCTTTAATACACGAGCACGCCAAGACCTGTGTTCCAAGCCGAATGATGTTGAAATGAACCAAAAGTACTCTTCTGCAAGTCCCCCTTAGCAGTGCAATTCAATGAAAGCAGCAGCTAGTTTAGACAATCAACACCGAATCAACCAAAAAAGAGATACCTCCTAAACTACTCGTGTTCATTGAGCTGGATTTTAGGCACCCAGATTGGCATTCTAGAACCCACTTTCTGACTTCATGTGTGAAAATGCAGTGACTGGGAAGCACCCATCACAGTGCTCCAAGATGCATTTTAGGAGTACTGACAGCCCAGTGCTGAGTCACTGCTGCCAGTCAGCAGCTGGTGACTGAGCTTGTTCTACAGAGAATAATCCTGCCTAGTCCACAGAGGATTGAACCCATGACCCTGGCCTGTCAGCACACTGCTAATCAACCACCAAAATAGCCAGAGCTAATTAAGAAGTGCTTCAATTTACTTAGAGACCACTTAACACACAACAGACATCATACTAAAAGTCTGACGTACATCACCACTTAAGGTTCACAAAAACCCTTCAAAGGAAATACTACTGCAAATGTTGTATCCTGAATCTTTCAATATTGGCTGAAAGATGATGAGCAAAGACAGTTCGGCAGTTATACTTTTTAAATTCCTTTGGTCTAAGAAAGGGATACTAGGGTACTAGAAGGGAGCTGGACATTTTGTTTTGTTTTGTTTTGTTTGTTTTGTTTTGTTTGTTTTTCAAGATAGGGTTTCTCTGTGTAGCCCTGGCTGTCCTAGAACTCACTCTGTAGACCAGGCTGGCCTCTAACTCAGAAATCCGCCTGCCTCTGCCCCCCAAGTGCTGGGATTAAAGGCGTGCGCCACCACCGCCCAGGGGAGCTGTACATTTTAGATTAAGGGATGTTGTGGTGGTTTGAATATGCTTGGTCCAGGGAGTGGCACTATTAGGAGGTGTGGCCTTGTTGGGATGGGTGTGGCCTTGTTGCAAGTGGTGTGTCACTGTGGGGCTGAGCTTAGAGAGCTTCCTCCTAGCTGCCTGAGGATGCCAGTCTCTTCCTCATTACCTTCACATCAAGATGTAGGACTCTCTGCTCCTCCAGCACCATGACTGCCATGCTTCCTGCCATGATGATAATGGACTGAACCTCTGAAAGTGTAAGCCAGCCCCAGTTAAATGTTGTCCTCTACTTATAAAGTTGCTTTGGCCATAGTATCTCTTCACAGCAATGGAAACCCTAATTAAAACAGTTAGTATAAGCAAAGCCAGGTGCATACATGCTTCTGAGGGGCCTGGATGGATGACAGTACACGACATATTGAAAAATTATAAAAGGACAAAACTGAAATAGAACCTAGGGTAGCATACTAGGCAATCCTCATTAACATCTTGCTAAACAAATACAGTCTATTTACTAGAAGACAGGAAGCAAAGCAAGCAAGGGCACACAGGTGAACTGCCTAGGATGGACGCTCACTCTCTACGACAGTGCCTGCTTCCTAGCTCTCTGCTTTAGTTTCTTCATTGATAGGCTGAAGCTAAATGGTGCCAAGAAAAGGTGAGGTAACGCCAACATGATGTCTAAATCATCAGCTAGGGAACTGAGCCAGGTGACTGACCCCTGTCATCTCAAGCCTTCCAGGGTAAAACAGGAAAAGTATGAATTCACAACCAACCCAAACTACACAATGGGTTTGAAGCTGGCCTAAATTACACAGCAAGTCCCTGTCTCAAAATTTAAAAAAAAAACAAACATTGGAAGAACAACATAGGCCGGCCTGACCACCCAGTTCTCCCAGAGACTAGACCACCAACCAAGGACAAGGAGTGTATCTGGAGGGATCCATGGCTCCAGATACATATGTAGCAGAGGACGGCCTTGCCTGACAGCAATGGGAGGGGAGACCCTTGGCCCCCAGGGAGGTTGGATGCCCCAGAGTAGGGGAATACTGGAGCAGGAAAGTGTGGGTAGGTGGGGAAGCACCTTCCTACAGGCAAAGGGGGTGGGGGCGGGTGGATGTGGGATGAGGGATAACCAGGAAGTGGTTTATCATTTGAGATATAAATGAATAGAATGATTAATATAAACAAACAAATATGTTTTTAAAGCCTATCAATTCTCAAGAACACTCAATAAGGATTTTTTTTTAAATAAATGTACCTACTAGCCACTCAGCCTAGTACTGCATACCTAAAGAGACAAGAAACCCAGTTTCATGAAGAGGTGGAAAAGATGGTTCAGCAGTTAAGAGCACTTGCTGCTCCTGCAGAGGTCCCAGACTCACTCCCAGCACCCAGATGGCAGCTCACAGCTAGCCCTAACTCCACTTCCAGGGACTCCAAAGCCCCTTCTGGCCTTCACAGGCACCAGACATGCACACAGTATGCATATATACATGTAGGTAAAGCACCAATTCACATAAAAATAAACAAAAAATAGTTCCACAAGTAGAACTAGAGACTGCACATTCGCTACAAACAGAAAAAGAGCAACAAAAGAATTATCATGGTCCTACAGAATGAAACCATACATGGATACTTTGTGATCTTACAACTCTGGAATCAGAAGGCTTTTTTTTTTGTTTTGTTTTTGTTTTTGTTTTTCGAGACAGGGTTTCTCTGTGTAACCCTGGCTGTCCTGGAACTCACTCTGTAGACCAGGCTAGCCTCGAACCCTTGAACTCAGAAATTCGCCTGCCTCTGCCTCCCAAGTGCTGGGATTAAAGGTGTGCGCCACCACACCAGAAGGCTTATTTTAATTCCATCAGATCATATTATTTCTTAAAGCGGTTACGAATGAACATGGCAGGTGACTGCCTCCACATCACACAATGTCTAGTTTGCTTAATGTCTAATAGTTCTTCTATCTCCACAATCAAACATATTTAACTTAAAGAAAGCCATGGAACTTGTTACATCTCAATATTAACAGAGTAACAGAAAAGCTAACACCTGTGATGTGCGCGTCTTTGCCAGAGGGGAAGTGCATGCTTCTTGAAACTGATCTTCATTAATTCCAATTTCTTTGAGGTAACTTTCTAACAGCTTTTCAACCTAAAAGGAAAAGAATTAACCTTTATAATGTACATAAGAAGATTCTAAATGTCATTCTGCCTTTTTAAATGCTCTTTGGAATTACCATTATATAAGACACAGAACTAACAATGTCTTTCACCAATAAATTAACAAGAAATGTTTTTATTCTTACAAAGAACCACATGAAGTTTAATTTCCTCTACTAGAGAACAGCCAGAATTATGAAGGTGAACATGGTATGACTCCTCTACTCACTGCCTTTTTTTTTTTTTTAGATATTCAAGGGCTCTTAAAAATCCCAAGACTACTATAAGTAAGTGAGCACAAGGACTGGCCTACAGGCCCCAGCTAAATAAAAATTTAAAAGTGAAACATCCCCATAGCTACAATAAATCATTACTTAGCGTAAAACAGAAGAGACAGAAAATCATTTGAAAGGATGCCCAGGGAAGTGATAAGCTTGAGAAAACTGCTTCTACTGTTGGGGCAAGAAGAACTCCTATAATGAAGGCTGCAGGGGGAATGTGGCAAGTAAGAGCGCCTGTGCAGGTCCAGAGGACCCAGGTTCGATTCTCAGCATCCACATGGGCCTTACAACCATCCATAACTCTAATTACAAGGAGCCCAAACTCCTCTTTTGACTACTGTGAGCACAGGCACATTCATGGTGCACATACATGCAGGCAAACACCCATACACATAAAATAAATAAATCTTAAAAACAATTTCAAGGAATTTTAATTTAAAAAAGCAATTTTTTTTTTTACAATCTTAAAATCAATGAAAAGAACTGGTGTGTTGGCACACACCTTTAATCCCAGCACTGGGAGGTAGAGACACACAGATCTCTGTGTGATCTAGGCCAGCCTGGTCTACACAGTGAGTTCCAGGCCAGCCATGACTACATAATGAGGCCCCATCTCAAACAACAAAAATCAGGGAGAAAATACTCACCAGCTCTTTGTACTCTTGATGAATTTCTGTATAGGTCAATTTGCTTTCTTCTTCATCATCAAAAACTAGATTTATAAGAAAATAATAGAACAGTGTAAAAAAATCATTTAATGAAGTACAAATATAAAAACCTTACAAATGTCCTTGCAGGAGCCTGTTCTCCCCTTCCACCTCGTGGGTGTGGGCTGACTTAAGTTATCAAGTTTACCAACAAACACCCCTGTCCCTAAGCCAGCTCCCCAGAGCCTTCGCTTTTAACATTTATGTACTTGAACTCTACAGTTTATATTCTACTGTTTACATGTGTGCCTTCTATGGTAGACTGTAAACTTTTCAAGGAGAGCATTTCTATCCCCAGGATCTGGTCTAAGGTAACTGACCACAGGTAAGTGAATACTAAAATGTTGATATCACATTGCTGTCTAAACCTTTAAGCATTCTGAGGCAGAGAACAGCACATTGGCAGCTCCACACCAGTGAAGGATAAAGTTATTCCAAGTGTTCTGACATCCCTTCTCTTTACTTTGCATTTGGTTTCTGTGACACTTCATATGCATTCACTACAAATGCTAATTAAACTCTTTTCAGTTCTGAAAACACACCACTGTGGTATTTGTAAGCCCTAGCTTTACTTCTCAGTAAAAATGCACAATCAGCTGTTACTACCGAGATGCAGCCATTCTTGACACCTGTGGCTAGAAGACAAACCATGCAACATACGATTTCTACTCAGGATTTAGTCTCAATGATAGATGAAAAATCAGTGGGTGACATAATCCTTCCTGCAGGAAATCAGGCTTTTCCCATGCTTCATCAACTCTAAATTCTACAGAGGAACACAAGTCAATTGCTGTGCTTTCTGAACCTCCTTAAAGTTGCTTGCCAAAACACTTAATTGGTGTTTGAATTTTAACAGAATAAAAGGTTCAGTGATCAAACAAAATTCTTTTCTTTACTAGATCCATAGACTCTTGGGTTCCAGAGAAGTCTTGCATGACAATTCAGGATAAGAACCCTCTGTTAACTGAATCTCAGACAACCTGCATTGCAGTACAGTCACTGTCAGATGTATGCAGATACTTTGAATGCCTCGGAACCCATTACTTTTTCAAGCAGGCTAATCCATCCTGGGAAACTGCATAAAAGATTTCCTTCACAGAAATGTGTTCTCTGCAGCTTGCATTCACTCACCCAAGCTCTATCGCACACACTGATCTTTACAAACGAGGCTAGTCTCTCTAACCTAAGACACAAGTTCAGATGATGGCTATTGCTACCCTCCAAGTATTGCCTAGGCAAAAAGCCACAATAGAGGTCGGAAAGGACATCGTTTGTGATTGCTTCTCTATGAACAGAGTTCAATTCGTCTTTAAGATATGAACTCGGATATGAACACGATATAAACCGATCAGAAAGCATTGACGCTGATCCTTCAAAAGAATTCCACATTTGTATATCTCATTTGTTAGAAAGGTCTTCCTCCCCATCGTCTGCTTTGGTCCTGCCAGAGTAATCGAATGCCCTCCTTTGCAGATTAAATGGCCAGAGTGAATTTGTTTTCATCTGGTAGACTGAGTCCACAGGGCCACATCTCAGGGGTCAGAAGCAACTCTAAGAACAACGACGCTTCTCTCAAATAACTGGGGAAGATGCTGGTTACCCAAACGGTCCACTTGAGCGGGGTAGAAAGATGCGGGATGAAGTGTGACAGGCCAAGCATGGGATTAAAGTCTAATGTGTTCAGGACGAGCGCTCGGGACAGGGTGGGTGAGAGGTTTTGGTGCGCATTTTCATGTCTGTAAACTAACGCCCCACTCGGGAAGGGGTGTATGCAATTCCTTCTACAAAACTGTCCTAGGCCCGCAGGCAAAGACAGTAATATTCGGCTTGTTCAGGGTCTGGTTCTTACCTTCGCATTTCTGCTCCACAAAGTCCAAGATGGGGATAGACCAATCTGGGCCCCGCAGGAACCCAGCGATGCTTTCCACCACCCATTCCACTTCGTCCTCTTCTTCCGCAGCCATCCCGCTCGCACCGGGAGACGCGGACGCCTAGGCCGGATTCCCCCGGCCCGCTCTGGCCTTTCGGCCGCAGGAAGCGACGAGGAATGCAGGCAGCACGATCTCCGCAATCGCCAGGCCCCCGGGTTAGACACTACAAACCAGTTAACGTAAAATGGTCACTATGACAACATACGCAGCGGCCCGGAAGTGAGGTCTGAGTCCTGCGCTCCTGGAGGGGGCGGGATTAGGAACGTTTCCTATTGGCTGGAAGAGAACGGGGCAACCGATAGCCCTCCGCTATTTGGCCCGCAGTTGCTAGGGTTGAGAACAGACGTGCTGGCATTGGCTACCGCGCCTGGAAACGGCGTTCGCGCTCCCGCGTGCGCGAGGCCGGTATTAAAATGGCGTGCTGAGGGCGTGGCTACCCTGAGGACCTCCTCCCACCTCAGCCCTAAGGGTTTTCAGACCACCTGAAGGATCATTTGAAAGCAAAACTGAGAGAAATAAGCTCTGTGAGGTTTACTGATTGGTTCTGCAATCCGTTTGCTTGCTGTCTAAGGATGTATCTTTAACCCCTAAGCTTAGTTAGCAATAGCTAAAATTAGGACAAGTACAAAATCAATTATCTCCATTTAAATAGGCTTTCATAGCCAGCTTTTTAAAAGTATTGAGGTTGCTCTCTTCCTAGGGCCTGAGGACTCCCAAGAATCACACAAGAATCTTACCATAACTTGATGTGGTGGCCTACACCTTTATCCCAATACTCTTGATAGGCACAAGCAGACAGACCTGTGAGTCCCAGGCCCATCAATGCTATATAATGAGAACCTATTTCAAATAAATCTTGACATCAAACTCACAGTCAAAAGCCCAGACTGGTGAACCTTAGAAAGTGCCCTCACCCACTTTAAGGTCTAGAGGAGCACAGTTTCCAGTCTAGCAATGAGAAGTCTCTGCCCTCAGAATAGCACTCTGAGAGCAGTGAGGAGCTGAAGGAGCAGAGAATACAACTTCGGTTTCATGAAAGTGGAAGCGAAGGACCCAGTGAGAACCAGAGATGTCTGTGTGGTGGGCCAACAGCAGAGTTCCAGGTCTGGCTGGGGGAAGGCACTGTAGCAACTGTTGATGGAAACCCCAGGAGGAACTGAGTGGGTATTAGAGGCAGAGGACCCTGAGGATCCCAAGGTTTCGGTGGTTCTCAACCTTCCTAATGCTGCAGCCCTTTAATACAGTTTCTCGTATTGTGGTGACCCCCCAATCATAAAATTATTCCATTGCTACTCCATAATTGTAACTTTGCTACTGCTATAAATCTGATGTGCAAGATTTCTGATATGTGGCCCACAGGTTGAGAACCACTGCAATATATACTAAGATGTTGATAGAAGACCCAGCTCTCAAGTTAGCAATTGTGTTAACCAGTTCATCCTATCTTCTGTCCAAGAGTTTCGTTATGGACCAAAAGGTCATTTCTGTGGGGACTTTTCTTGTTGCCCTGTCTCATCATTGAAGTCCCTGAGCGGTACACCACAAAAGCTGCTGTGCCGCAAAAGCCATCGAAGTGGTGATAGGCCCCTCCTTCCCGCTCAGTCTATGGCTCCTCAGTAAAAATGTTCCACAGGAGCTGTATAAAATGGCAGCTTCTGTCAAAAATGGAGGCACCACAGCATCTCTTCAACCTTCAACCAACATAGGCACTGTAGGAGCTGTCCACAGTGGCACACTGCTTTTCCCACCTCAGCTGGAGCTGCCCCTCAGGAGATGTCCACAATGGCGACACCTTTCGTGCCTCAGCCTACAGATTTCATGAAACACCACTGCAGGAGCTGTCCCACAGAAGCTGTCCTAGTAGATACCATGGATGCTCAGTGTAAGCCATTGGTGCTGAGGGAGGAAGTACAGCAGGCTTAGACAATGTTTCTGTTCAGAATGGAAGAACAGTAATGCAATGGCTTCATACCTATCCCCTGGTTCCACCTAGTATTCAGCTGTACAGTCTTTGCTAGTGCAGTCACTAAGTTCCAGGATGTAGACATGGAGCTTGCCGAGAAAGGAAATAATAAAAATATCGGTCCCTTATCTCACAAGCGGTTTAGCCTTTGGAAGTTCTAAACTGATAGATGCATTAAGATGGCCAACTGGACACTGGCGAGAAGGGCCAACCAACGTGCAGTGGCTTTCAAGAAGCCTCCACATACCCTGACTCCACACACCCAGTCTAAGGCTGGAGGAGGGATGTTCTAAGCTCAAGCTAGCCTTCTTTCCAGATCTTGGAGGTGTTTAGGGGTTCTAGAGAACAAAGATGTTAGTGTTATATAAAATTGGAAATTATCACAGAAGAGAGAGAAGGATTCCAGGATTGCTTCCAGAATATTCACAGTGAATCTAGAGACCAATTAGAATAGAAGTGGTCAAGATGGACCAATCACCTGGTATGTCTCCTATCATCACCATCACTTGACAGCCAGGAAGGCATCCCATAACCAAATTTTATGTCAAATAATTCCACTCAACTTTTGGATCAGAGTTCATTATGCAATGGGTCTCCATCTTCAAAGAGCATTCAATGTCAAGGTACCTGAAGCCACAAAGTACCCTCATGCAAAGTTATGCATACTCACGTAAATGGTGCCACTATATGCACAGTTATAATTTTTTTCTTTTAATATATCTTTTGTTTGTTTGTTTGTTTGTGGTTTTGTCTTTAAGGAAGGGTCTCATTTAGTATAAACTGGTCTTGGACTTCTGATCCTTCTGCTTCTACCTCCTAAGTGCTAGAATTACAAGTGTCTGCCACTATACTTGGCTTTTGTATATAAAAATATAAAGTGAATAATATTATAATAATTCAACCTTTATTTTGTATACGTACACATAGCTTATATATGTCTACCATTAACATGTTGATTTTATTTTACTCACTGTGTGATTTGTGTTGTACCACAAATTATTTAACCAATCTTTGCCTGAAATCAACACCTTTGTGTCTGTAAGAATAGTTGGTTTTAGTTATAATGCTAGGGGATAGAGCAGAGTTAATAAAAAAAAGAGATAGGTAGATAATTGATAAGTAGATGGATGGATAAATTAGGTTACATTCACCTGACTATTTGACCTTCATGACAAATTAAATTATGAGTGTAGCTTTCATTACAAACACCAGGTGTGGTGACACATACCTTCAATCCCAACACTGAAGAGGCAGAGGAATGTAGGTCTACAGGCGTTTGAGGCCAGCCTACTCTACAGAACAAGTTCCAGGACAGCCAGAGCTACACAGAGAAACCCTGTCTCAAAACAAAAATCATTACAAACATAAAATTTGCTACATGATATTTTTATTTTGAAGTTTGTTTTTGTTTTGTTTTGATGTTTTAAGATTTTGCATTGTATCAGATCCCCGTATGAGAATTTAAAATAAGCTTCCTCCTCTCCTAAAGAACTCAAGCAAACTCGAGCCTTCCCTATATGTGGGTGCCTGACCTTAGAATACATAAAAATGTAAGTGTTTGAGCAATGCTTTGAAAGTGTAGGGCATGGTAAGACTTGAGCCACTTCTCCACACCCTGAGAACTCTACAGAGCCTTTGAGTTTTGACTCCTGCCTCAACGCATCGCTGCAGCCTGAAGAAAGCTCTCGGGTTATCCCATCTGCTTAGTCTTTTGCTCTTCTGCTCTAGTAGTAGCAAGAACAGGAGATACAGTCTAATGCTTGTCTGAATTGTTTTATGATACCTCTACTTGGATGATGTAAGGATCTTCACTGTAGAAAAAGATTTCAAGACTAGTCAGTATGAAGTAAACTTTGAACTTATTAAAAAACAAACGCAATATAGTCATTTAAATGTGGGTTTTATATATGTAGACAAGCATTCTACCACTAAGCTATATCCCCAATCCTTTTCTCAATTTTGTTTAAGCCAGAATTATAATAGCTGACCTTGAACTAACTCTGTATCCCAAGCCAGAGTTGAATTTCTCTGGTCCTTCTGCCTCAGACTTCCAAGCAGCTGACTAGATCTGTTCCATTAGGGCCAAATTTTGATGACGTATGAAGTAGCATTGTTCAAAGGACCTCTAAGAAACTTTTTTCTCTTTTTGGTAAATTAAATCATAATGTGGTTTTTGAGGAGAATTGGGTAGGAGTCCAGGATGATAAGATAAAAACATAGATCACAACATTCAAAAGCATTCTGGCTATCCAAGCTCACAGAGAATCCAGGGTATATTTGTCAAGTCAGGAAATGATGAGGTGGAGGTATGAGGGGACAGATAAGTATTTGCCTCATCAAAATTGGTATTAAAAAAGGTTTATATAGAGTATCCCTGGAGGACTCTTTTCAAGATATCGCGGAAGTGGCCATCAGCATCTGTGAGACCAAGGGGCCACTCTGAGGAGCCTGAGAGACCTACAAAGGTTTCAAGGAGAGACTTGGCAGGCAAGGATGAGCCTGCAGAGCATGCAGAATCTGTGGAACAACTGAAAAGAGAAGGTCTTATGGGAAGATGCTTATGCTTTTTAAAAGTAGGTTTATGGACTTGGAAAAAAGATGGCAGACACAGCAGTGTAGGAGACCAAGAGAAGCAGAACTAGAGACGCAGTGGCAGCAGCCAGGCAGCAGCGATGGGTACAGCAGCGTGAGCCAGGCAGCAGCAATGGGTACAGCAGTGTGAGCCAGGCAACAGCGATGGGTACAGCAGTGTGGCTTCAATGGACAAAGGAGCATGTTGTTGCCAAGTAGGTCATGTCCTCTGGCTACTGTGAAGCTTGGACCACCACCAGTCTCCTTCACCCTGTCACTACTGTGGGAGGAGAGCACGGGGCTGCCTTAGTGATTGCACGAGATGGTTGAGCCCTAGGAAGCAGGCTGAGGGCAGGAAGGTATGCAGCAACCTGGAAATCTGGAAGATACTGTCCCGTAAGAGCTGCCAACCGAATGATCACCCTGACTTGGAGCAACAACAAGATATCCACAATAAAGAATGCTCAAAAGACTCCTATAGTCCATGCTGCCACCAGAGGCCATGTTGGTTATCTGTAGTCTTGTAGTCTATGTTTCTGCAGGAGGCGAAGTTGATGT